CTCTCTTGTCTACATATATAAGTATACACCAACCCGTTGTGTCTGGGCTTTACTACCTTTACACACATCCCACCTGTTCTGTCTCTCTCTGCTCCTCCCTCTGCTGACTTCTCCACCATTCTATCCCTATTCTGGGTTCCCCCATTCAAAAAATTCCTATCCCACTGGAGTACACCTCAATTCTTGTCCTCTTTCTAACCCCCTGTGCTATCTCTGTTCACCAGTCCTTTGCTCCTCTCATTCTCACTTATCCCCCCCAATCATCTGAAATCAACGGGTGTTATGGCTTCTCAGCACTCGGGCTGGTCAGAAATTTTCCACGAAAGTGTGTTCTGACAGAAAATTGGCATTTTGACTAAACAATTTTTTTCACAAGTGCTTACATTCTGTGGAAAATTTCAATTTTTCTTTAAAAAAACCAACAAATGCTTGAAAAAACAACTTCTTGAAAATATTTTGGCAGTGCCTAATAGGAGTTTGGTTCAGTTTCCTCACATCCTCATCGTCCTCTTTAGGTAGCTCTCACCAACCAAACTACATCTCCCATAATGCACCACAAGTGGGGACTCACATGATGCAACTGCCTCCCATGTCCATGACAGGAAACGATGGTAGGTGTAGTCCAATCAGGGAGCTCGGGTTATAGTGGTGTTGAATGTATGAGGCAATTGAACTGCAACTGCAATGTGGCACTATGGTTGCATTTCAAAACTGAAATTGATTTTCAATATTTTGCCAAAAAGGCAAACTTTTCTGTGGAAAACTTAGATGAAATAAATGTTTGTCATTGAAAAAATCCCATTTTCTGATGAGTTCTACTCAATATCCAAAAACTTCTGAAAAATCAGACCCAAGGTGTCTGAAGTCATCCTCTCACAACCCAAGGAACCAACAATTTATGAACATGTTGATCTAACTCCTTCTACTCTTGAGATTCACATCTGTAGAATGGCAAAGATCCTACAGTTAGCTATGGCATCAAAGAAAGGACCAGCCATAAGATGCAGGATGGCTGAACACTGTTGGGACGGTGGATTCTTCCATTGTTGAAACTGCCTTTGAAGCATGACTTAATTGTGCATTAATTATTGGAAAATAAATTAAATTACTTTCTTTGGAGTCCATGCTCAGAGGACGCTCAGCTAATGAGGGAAGTTGGTCTTAAGGGTGAGCAGAAATTTAATGAACAAGTGTAACACACCCAGTATATTGTTTTCTAGGAGAAGAAAGATGGTCTTGATTTACTGGAACAGATCTCCGGATACTGGGGGTCAATTTTCAGCTCTGGGTGACCTTGGAAATGCATTGAGACAGGGATTTTCAAAATTGCCCAAGGAAATTAGGGACCCAAATTAGGGATTTTTCAAATGCCAATGGAACTTGTGCTCCTAAGTCACTTAGGCATTTAAAAAAATAAGTCTCACCCCAATTTCCATTGGTTTTCAATGGTATTTGGGTACCTTATTCTTCCTTTTTCATTTAAAATCTCCACCCAAGTCCTTTGTAGATCCCAACTAAAAGTCTCTATGCCCCAGTTCTCTATCTGTCAAACAGGAATAATAACAATTCCTTCACCTACCTTGTTTATTAGAAATGCAAACTCTTTGAGGTACGGACAGCCTATCACTCTGGCTGTGCAGTGCCCAGTGCAACGGGGCTCTAATCTCACATTGAGTCTATTGGAGCTACGGTACTGTAATAATAAATAAATCTTTCTTTGTCAACTTAATAAAAATGCCTTTGTCATGACCTATAACAGCAATTACAGTTATCAATATGCAACAAACAATCAAAATCAGTGCTTAAACACTTCCCATAAAATACTTGCAAAATGTTTACTGGATCCCCCTGTAGGGGCTGGCCCAGAGAGAAGATAACAGCCTACTACTCTGCCACCAGATAGATATCCTCCTTTAGTTCAAGTGTCAAATGGCTGTGATTTAGGTCTGATGATCCAAAGTTCCAACTTTACTGATGATGGTGAGGGAGGGGGAGTTATTACATTGTATCTGAGCTCATGCACCAGACTTAGACTAGAGAAAAATGTCTGGTCAAGAATTTTCCATTTAAATTGTTTGCCAATGGAAAATTGGGTTTTCAACTAAACAACATTTTCTCAAACAATTCTGATAGTTAATAAAGCTTAACCGCCACCCCCCCCCCCCCCTTCATGAAGAGGTTTTTTTTTTTGCCAAACCCCTAAATATTTCAATTCACAATGACACAGTGGTGCCTCTTAAAAGTTGTAGTTTGGGTGGCCTATGTTGTCATTTTCCACTATGGGCTCGGGTCTCTGGCCAGAATACATTTCCCATGGTGCACACCCACTCCATACAACAAGGAGAAAAACTCGTGCATCATTGGAGGTGTAGTCCAGCAGGAGATTGCGGCCCCAAGAGAAGGAGGGGTGCATAAGGCATTGAGCCTACCATGATGCTCATGATGCCACACGGCCCCATTTTGAATATTTTGCTTTTTTGATATTTCACCAAAAAATCATTTCTGTCAAAATTTCCCAGGGAGGTGGGGACAACACCCAACACAGTATTGCACCATGGGACATCTCCAGTCCCAGTCTCCATAGCAATAGGCCGTGTCCTATTCCTGTTGCAATCAATGGAAGCTTTAACAATGGGAGTGGGTTGTAGCCCTAGTCAATCAACAAAGTTACGGGACTTTTCGTCCACCAAAACTGCTCAAGCCAGCGCCTCTCCTTGGGAGAAGCCAAAGTTAAGAGATAAGCCTGGGGGTGGTCAAGAAACCTGTTGGATCCCATATGTGAGCTGGAGCTAAAGAAAGGAAGGGTGATCCAGTGGTTAGTGTGTGTGCTGGGGCAGGTTCAAGGCCCTCTTCTGCTACAGGCTTCCTGTGTCACTTAGGGTCACTTTGGTAAAGGTATTTAGGTGTCTAAAGATGCTGACAAGAACCTAGCAAGATTTTCAGAAGCACTTACATACCTAACTCCTGGTGACTTCAAATTGATTTTAATGTGCATTTGGCACCTCTCTGCATTGGTAGGCATCTTAATCCCTTTTAAAATCTGGCCTAAGTGACACGGGAAGTCTATGACAGAGTAGGGGACCCAAACTTAGGTGTCCAAAGTCCAAGTCGAGAGACCTAACCGTGGACCCATCCTGCCACTCAAATAATTGTTTACAAAACATTCTGAAATTTTGCAGTCAGTGAGCAAATTCTCCAGTGAGATCTACTCTTTCTACAGCACCAGCAATTCTTAGTTTCTTAGTTCTTAAAAAGATTGCATCCTTATCCACATGTGGAAAACAAAGTTAATTGACTGCTTAAAGAATGTGTCCTATGGGAAAAGGAAAGTCACTTTAAAAAGCAGACCATGGGTGAGTTAACGAAACACTCAGAGTTACTCATTCTGAGTCAGCCAAGAAAGCTGCTGCTGCTTCCTAAGGTACCATAGAGCACAATAGATAATGCTGAGTACATTCAGAAATATAATCACAAATGTATGCAGATGGAAAACTCATATTTTTTTTCTCTTCTGTAAGAAATCAGTGAAATCAAGGAAGCACTTTTGTCATTGCTTTCCTGCCATATGACTTCTGGATGTTTCAAAGCTTAGGATTTTGTTTTGTTTTTTTATTTTTTTCTTTATCATATTTCTTAAGATCCACTTTTTTTGAATGGAATAAACCCAATGGATTATCTGTGAATCACTGTGGCGGTGTATATACCTGAAAAGTAAGTAATTTTATTATCATCTGACCGTGTGATGTTTCCAGTAGCTACCCTGATTTGTTTTTAGTGACAAAATATTAGTCCTTCTTGGGTGGGAAGACAAGTAAATTAGAAAAGGCAGAGAGTTAATTTAAAATAATTACTAGTTTATAATGTGGGGGGGGGGGAAGAGAGAGAGAAACTGGCTCTGTGGTGAAGTCAGATGATTAGACATAAGGACACATGATATCTGATTCTGTTGTCTCTTAAGCCAACTTTACAATAAAGCTCTACATTGACTATTCTAGGGATACACTAGAATAACATTGGAGTGAGTGAGAGCAGAATCAGTCCTGCTGATGCCAATGGAGGTACTCCTGATTTACATCAGGGTGGGGAAGAGGAGAAAACCGTTGAGCTTAACACATATTTTCATATTCTATTCTATTCTAGATAGGTTTTTATACTGCACTCCTCATGCTAGTATCCAAGCACTTTCTAGTAGAGCATTAAGCAATGTGACTTCACATCTGTTCCTGATTTACACCAGTCTCAGCAAAAGTAAAATTTGGACCCCTTTTCTCCTCTTTCAAATGAGGCGTAAGGAAGTGACGTTTGGACATGAATCAGGCAAACAGTTTTCTAACTAGAAGACAAATTGCCTTGGATTGGCTTGGGCTGAACTCTTGTGAGGTGAAAGCCTGAGTTTTCTGCCACTATGAATGGTGAAACTGTCATGAGATTATCTCTTGTAAAAATGTAGGGGTTGGTTCTTATCTAACAGATTCCCATCTAACTTTCCCCAAAAATTTCCATACTTAAGTTTTCACATCTATCTATCTATCTATCTATCTATCTATCTATCTATCTATCTATCTATCTATCTATCTCACACATTTTCCCTGTTTTCCCTTTCTAATCTCTTTCTCTACTTCCCCTCACTTCTCTCTTTTTTCTAGATTTTTTAATGAAATATATGTATTTAAGTCTACATGTTTATTACAGTTTTCCTGGCTTGTAAAAGTTCTCTCATTCATTCTCAACCTTCTTTCAACTTTCAGGACCAGTCTACTTCCAACATGATAAACTACACATGTGGATGTTTGCTTATGATGAAGAAGCACAATATCTGTTGCAAGAAAGCGTGATTCTTATGTATTGTCTTCTCTGTCCCATGCCCAGGGTTGCAATGGATCGTTCAACTGCATGTGTCTGCTGACAGCTAGTATATACCAACATGGTGATTGGAGCTCATTGAGGAAACAACATTCTCCCCAAATTGTCTCTTCTTTCCTCCATATACAAAAAGAGCCATGGAAAACTACACAACAGTGGCTGAGTTCATCCTGGTGGGATTCGGAGGCCATCCTGAACTGCAAGTCTTCCTCTCTGTCCTCTTCTTGGTTCTGTACACTGTCACCCTGGTGGGGAATGTCGGCATGATCACCATCATCAGCGCTGACTCCAGGCTCCACACCCCCATGTACTTCTTCCTGAAGAACCTGTCCTTCCTGGACCTCTGCTACTCCTCCATCATTGCCCCCAAAGCCCTGCTGTGCTTCTCAACAGGGCGAAAAGCCATTTCCTACAATGGCTGTGCTGCCCAAATGTTCTTCTTCTCTCTCTTTGGGACCACCGAGGCATTCTTCCTAGCCGTGATGGCTTATGACCGCTTCGTCGCCATCTGCAACCCACTGCGTTATCCAATCACAATGTCCAAAAGGATATGTGTTTTCCTGGTGGTGGTCTCCTATCTCTCAGGCTGCCTCAATGGCAGCATCCAAACAGGCTTTACATTCACCTTGTCCTTCTGCGGGCCGGGGAAAATTGACCACTTCTTCTGCGACGTCCCCGCAGTGATGCAAGCCTCCTGCTCTGACACCTTTGCCAATGAAATGGCGATGCTGGCCGTGTGCGGGTTCATCATAGTGAGCACTGGCCTGGTCGTCCTTATCTCCTACAGCTACATCATCACCACTGTCATGCGGATACCCTCCACTGAGGGAAGACGCAGAGCCTTCTCCACCTGCACTTCCCATCTGGTGGCTGTGAGCTTGTTCTTTGGGACAGTCTTCTTTATGTATGCTCAGCCTGGGGCCATAACCTCCCCAGGTCAAAGTAAAGTTGTCTCTGTGTTCTACACCATTGTCATCCCCATGCTGAACCCTTTGATCTACAGCCTGAGGAACAAGGAGGTGAAAGTGGCCCTGAGAAGACAACTAAAAAAGAAAGGCTTTTTCCACTGAGCTCCCTGAAGTAGCAAGGCAATTCAACAGTGGACAGGTAACTGGGATGGACAACAATAGGTGCCAAAGACAACGAAATTTCTACAAGGTGCTTCCATGGAACAATGGTCTCAGCTGGTGAATATTATAGGGAAAGGCAGGGACATTCAGTGGCCTGAGGGAATTAAGCACTCCATTGAGCATCTAACTCCCTTTGGCTCATTTTAAAATCCCAGACAAAATGTAAGGGTGATGAATCAGAGGCTAAGTCTAAGTGCCTTGAAAGAGGAAAAATGGGGGTGGATGGTTTTGTGATGAAGATGTTGGACTGTGACTTGGGAAATCTGGGATCTATTTCTAGCTCCCCGTGTGAACTTGGGCAGGCTGCTTACGCTGAGATGCTAAAAGATTTGAGTGCTCGGTTCTCATTAACTTTAATAGGACTTTAGTGTCCAAAGTCTTAGGCAGCTTTGAAAATCTCAACCTTAATCCCACCGTTTCTCAGGTCCCCATCTGTAAAATGTGGATTTTGATGCTTCCTTTCTCTGGCTCAATCTGTTTACATGGTGACATTTTTGAGAGCACAGACTTTTTCTGACCATGTGTTGTGCAACATCTGATAAAATGGGACACTGAATGTAAGTGGAATCTGTAGTTATTGCTAATACAATAATTTTAAACCCTGGAAATGCATTGGCAGGGACAGCGGACAGCCACCTCTATGTGAAGAAAACCCGCCTCTTGATTCTACTTTGCATGGTTGCTTACCCTTTCCTCTGAACATTGTCAAACTGTACATACTCCTTTCAATGGACGCTGATGTAAAAGTCTCACAGAAATAAACTATGGGACTTGGGCTCCCAAGTCACTTAGGGCCATATTTTCAAAGGCATTTAGACACCTAAAGAGGCAGATAGACAGAATTTATGTCTCTTCATAATTTGATTTTTATTTTTAAAAATTGGTACATTCTGAGACTCATTCACCATATTTACAGGAGACTGATATTCAGTGATTAACATCCTGGGATTTCCATGGTAAATGATCAGAGTGAGTCTGATACAGCGACCTATAGTCCACCTAAATCTCATCTGAGATCAAGGAGATTTTATCCTATAAAAAGCCTGCAGAATTGAGCCAGTGTTGTGTCCATTTCACCTCCAGAAGAAACAGGAAAAGGGTTTTGATGTGATTTTTTTACTAAGTTAATGAAACTTTAAATGTGGAGAGAATGGTCTTGACCTTTCCTTCATTTATGCATGTTTTACAACAGTACAACTACATTGATATCAGTGGCGTTACTACGGTTTTACAATGAGCAGATGAAAGGAAAATCCATCCCCTTGGCACCAGCAGATTTCCTCCAGACTTACACTTGGGTGAGTGAGAAGAGAATGATCACCACTGGCTGCAACAGAATTACTAACGATTTACATGAGCGTATGTGATAGTGGAACCAAGCCCACTGGTATAAACGCAGCTACTAGTGATTTATACCAGGATGAGTGAATACTCCTGATTTACATCAATAGGAATGAGATTTGAATCAAAACCACTGACTTTATTGAGGTGTGTTGCAGACACAACACAGGAGTATTGCACATAGATGAACCAGTCTAACATAGACTCTGTTTCCATTACCTGACACAGATGTCACATTTTTCACCATTTTCCAACAGCTACCTCACCATTACATCAGAGATACTTCAAGGGCCAGATTCTGAGCAGGCTTAAATCCATGTAGCTCCACTGAAGTCAGATTGGGTAAACCAAATTTATATTACCTGATGATTTGGACTGAGGTAATTCCTATTATCAATATATGGAAATATACAAATAAATATGGAAATACTTTATTGTCACAAATATGTTGTATAGTCAATGCTCTGGAATGTTATAGGAGCAGAAGAATTGCCATGCATCATCATCCTATCTCCAGTAGTGCCCAGTGTCAGCTGTTTCAAAGACAACAGTATTATAATCTGAATCACGGAGAAAAAATCTTCCTAAACCAGAGAGTAACAGTTGGTTCATACCCCAAAGCAGGAGGTCCCTATAAACAATGAAGCCATTTTAGAATTCTGCAAATTTATTTGATTACATATTATCCAGTGGCAATGAGTTCCACAGCTTAGATGGCTAGATAGATATGTTGAGCTAGTCCCCTGCTCTCCCATGTCATCCTCCAACCATTCATACACTGATCCCAAATATTCATTAGTTTATAGCTGGAGAAAAATGACAAAGAAAATAATGACATATTTTGTCAGAAATTTGTATTTCTTCTCCCTCCCTCCCCCACATTTCAGAAGTTCACAAAAGCCCTGCACACGCAGATTTGGTCTCTATGTTCATAAGCAAGGTTCTACTTTTCAAAGATTTCTTCCCCATAGTTCTGACCCAAGCTTCTTTCACCTCTTTATTCTTTAGACTGCAGATGAGGGGATTCATCATGCAGATGACAAAGGTGTAAAACACAGACACCGTTTTCCTTGGGTACAGAGAAGTTAACCAGGTGGGCTGTGCATACATGAAAGCTGTGGACCCATAAAATAAACTCACCGCTATTCTATAGGCGGTGCAGGTGGAGAAAGCTTTGTGTCTGCCCTCAGCAGAGCGAATCCTGAGGATGGTGGAGATGATATAAGCATAGGAGATAAGCACGAACAGGGAGGTGCTCCCTATGATAAGGCCGCATCACCAGGTTATTGACGCATGTATCACTGGTGGCGAGACTAATCGAGGGAGGGCCATCACAGAAGAAATGATCGATCTCGTTTGACCCACAATAGTGCAGTGTAAAGGTGAAGCCAGGCTGCACCATGGAGTTCACACAGACACCAAAATACGACACCACCACCAGCTGAACACAAACCCACTTGGACATGGTGATAGGGTACAAGAGTGGGTTGCAGATGAAAATGTACCGATCGTACGCCATGGCTGCCAGCAGGAACCCTTCAGCAGCGAGGAAGACAGAAAAGAAGAAGAATTGGGTGGCACATCCATTGTAGGAAATAGCTTTGCTCCCTGCTAGGAAGCTCACCATGGCTTTGGGGGTGATGGTGGAGGTGAAGCAGAGGTCTAAGACTGACAGGTTCATGAGGAAGAAATACATAGGGGTGTGCAGGCGAGAGTTGGCTTTAATGAGGAGGATCATGCTGACTCACCAGTCCAACCTCTCTCCTCAAAGACCTTAGAGCTATTAATGAATTTGCTGTTGTGAACACAGTAAATAGGAGGTTGTATTAAATGGCTAGCTCTGAATAGGGAAGTTAATTATCTCCGTATATGGCACTGGAGAGGCCACTTATCTGCATCTGGTGCATACTTCAAAAAGGATATTTCTTAAAAAATGAAAATGGTGCAGAGAGGAGATAAAAGATTGATTTCACGTTTCACTGTGAAATAATGAGGGAGATTTAGTTTATTTAGTGTGCTTAGTTTATTAGAGAGAAGGTTAAGAGATGATTTGATCATGTCTGTAAACCCCTGGTAGCAGAGATCGTTAGCCTTTTTGGCGACAACATCACACTGAGAGTTCGTGACCCCACAGTTACACTCAACTCATGTTGAAAAGTTGGAGACATGGCAGAGAAGAGCCACAAAAATCATGTCAGAACTGGAAAAAAAGCATGAGTGATCCAGATGTAGAGAACACAGTCTGTTTATCTTAGCAAAAAGAAGATCATGTGTGTATGTGTGTGTGTGTGGGGGGGTGACTTGATCACAGACTATAAGCACAGAGAGAATATTCTGGATATAAAAGGCATCTTTATTTTTTTAGAGAAAGGCATAACAAGATCCAGTGTCTGGAGGAGAAACCAGACAAATTCAAATTAAAAATCAGGCACACGCTTTTGACAGTGAGAGTGCTTAACCGTTGGGACGAAGTGCCAAGGGAAATGGTGGAGTCTGTCTAAATAAAGACAGAGTGCCTTTCTCGAAAATGCTTTAATAAAACACAAGTTTTCAGGCACAGAACAGGGTTAATGGGGTGAAATTGTCTGGCTGGCATTATACAGGAGGTCAGGTTAGAAGATCAAATGGTCCATTCTGGCCTTGAAATCTGTGAATCTCTGTGGTTTTGTTACAGTGAAGGGTTATTTAATTTCATATATTCTCAAATTCCAAGGGTAAAAGGTACTACTGTGACCATCTAGCCTGATCTCCTGTAGAACACAAGTCAAATGACTGCCCTAAAATAATTCCTAGAGCTGATCTTTTAGAAAAAAAATCTGATCTTCATTTTAAAAAATTGCCAGAGAATCCACTACACCCTGCTGCAAATTGCTCCAATATGTAATCCCAATGGCAAAGAATTAAGAAATAAATGAAAGAAAGGTTTGACATATAAGAAGATCTTTCTATCTTCTTGACTCTTGTAGTGTTTCCGAATGTTTTTACCATCGATGGTGTTGGTTTCAGCTCTGCTGCTTCTTTCACTAGCTGGCTCATCTCCTGAGTGACTATTTCCTGGACTGCGGCAATTGTTAGCTGTTGCTGATGTCTCTGGGTTCCGTCAGTCCCATTGGTGGCTGGCTGCCGGGGAAGGAGAAGTGCTCTTTCATCCAATCCCGTGGCTTCTACAGATAAAGGTGCAGTAGCATAGGGCAGTGACTCATTGCTAACAAGGCTTCTTAAAGTCCATTGTCTTTGCTTTCCCCTCCCTCCCATGTCTCCACCCTGGAGCCCCAGGACAAATCAGAACTAAGCATTCCCCCCAGAGTCACTGGGCTTTGCAATCAACAAGCGTAGATTGAGACATCTGAATCAAAATCAGGAGAGTTGAATAGTGGAGAGTGGAGAGTGCTTTGCCCAAGAGTTTAACCTCTCTAACTGCTGGGTATGCTCTCAAATCCCGCACCATGTGGCAGGGTTACCTTGGAGGGTAGTCCCCCAAAATTGGTCAGATATCTGCTGGGGATGGTTCAGTAGGGGAAGAAATACCTCGGGTACCCCCTTGTAGCAAAACTGCACCATAGAAGCCCCCTTTAGCCTGCTAGGAAATGACACCTGGA